GTTATTATTTGCTCCTACAATGCTGCAATAAACCTCCTTGTACATGCCTAGTACTGTATACTCGGAAAGGACTTTCGGAGGATTTTCACTCTTACGCTGCTACTAGAAGGATGAAAATCTAAGTATGCAAAGAGAAGAATTTCAAGTATCTGGAACAGAGGACAGGCCCAGAGGTGAGACGGAATGGCATGTCTACGACCCCCTGGGGAGGTTCCAGGGCAGTAATTCCCGGAAAGAGGAGCAAGACAAAGGGGTCAATGGGGACTCCAGTGAAGGCCACGCTGCTCATAGTTGTCACAATAAGAGGTTTTGGTTTAATTCTAAATAGCAAGTTGTTCATTTTTCCAGCTTGGACAGACTATGGCCCCAATATTGTGAATTCCTTTCCCCAACTTTACTATGAATGTACCAACTGTTGAATGAATGGACTTACTGCTTTTGCTCTCTATTTTGGAGGAGCTGATTGCATCTTATTATGAAAAAAATTTTTTTTCAATTCCTTTCCTACCCTTTTGTACCTGAGCAGCACCAGCTGTGTATTTCAAAATGAAACTGTATTTCTCCCAATTTCATTTTTTCCACACAAAAGACTTAAAAGGAAATGTGCCCCATTTTCCTCTCTGTATCTTGCAATGAATTTGTTGTTCCTTTTGTTAAAATATGATTGATGAAAGGTCTAAAGCATTTATGTCCATTTAATAACTGAGAAAATATCATGTTCGTTCTCAAAGTATTTGAGCTGACAGTATCAGGATGACCAAGCAAAGGAATGACTGAAAAATGTGAATGGAAAGAATATGTACCTAGCGCCGGGGAGATGGCTCAGTGGAATAAGTGCTTCCCTGGCAAACACAAGGTCCTGAGTTCAATCCCCGGTTCCACCAAAAAAAAAAAAAAAAAAAGAAAGAAAGAAAGAAAGAATATGTACCTATGTTACAGCACCAAACAGTACGATAGACTTTCAAATGATAGAAATTTTTTCCAAATGATAGAAATTTTTTCCTAAAGTGGTTTGATGAGGGTCATTCCTTTTGTAACTTATCCAAACACGCTAACATCTTCTCTCCTTCTTTGTTCATTTCTTCTTTTAGCCCCTGTACATTTGGCAAGTGGCCATGCCATTGTATCTGTTGGGAGGCAAAGACCCTGGTAGATTGTCAGACTTTCACTTTCCTCATCTACCGCATATCCAATGTTATTATTATTATTATTATTTTTTTTTTTTTTTGCAGAACCGGGGATTGAACTCAGGCCCTTGTGCTTGCCAGGGAAGCACTTATCCCACTGAGCCATCTCCCCAGCCCCCTGCATCTCCAATGTTAAAGCAAAGCAAGACTCACACTGCTGGTCTTGGGTTTCACTCTACTATTCTTTAGAGCATCGTGTTTTTTTTTTTTTTTTTTTTTCCGGAACTGGGGATTGAACTCAGATCCTGGCATTTGCCAGTCAAGCGCTTATCCTACTGAGCCATCTCCCCGGCCCCTAGAGCATCGTTTTCGATAACTAGTACTTTGCAATTTTTATTCCACTGAGCCATCTCCCCGGCCCCTACTTTGCAATTTTTAAAGCTACCCATTAAAACCCACAGAAATCTTACTAACATCTAGTCTCATTGATGTGGGTGAAATTTTCTCTTTTCTAAAGCAACTTCCCCATTCACTGATTTTTTTAAAAAAAATTTACAAGTTGGCTATATTCTATTTAGAATCTTATTACCAAATAGATTGAGTACCACCAAAAGGCAAGGTGTATAACTGTGTTTTGTACAATAATGCAGAATTAAAAGCCTATCAATATCCCAGAATCAGATTCTTTAAGGACCAACTGGTATGTGTATGTGGCAGCCAGGGTTTCTTCAATTAGAATGGCTATCATTTACAAAACAAAAGAAAATAAATGGTGAGTTGTGTGGGGAAAGGAACCTTTGTATGCACTATTGGTGGGCATGCAAATTAGTACAGCTGTTTTGGAAAATAGCATAATGGTTCCCGGAAGACCTACTGTAAATCCGTATATGCAGCAATCCCACTTCCGGGTATGTATCCAAAGGAATTAAAATCAGTGTGCCAGAGAGGTGTCAGCATTCCCATGCTTCTCCCAGACTAGCCACGATAACTAAGAAGTGACTATCAACAAACGAATGGATAAAGAATTGTATACAGCATATACTCTTAAAAAAAAGAAATGCTGTCATTTGCAACAATGAATTTGAAATCTGGAGAACGATATACTAGGTGAAATAAACCAGCCACCAAAAAACAAATATCTCATGAGCTCACTTAAATGTAGAATTTTAAAAAGTCAAATTCATAGAAGTAGGAAGTAGAATAGTGGTTCCCAGAGGCTGAGGGAAGGGTGAGTGGGCAGGGAGTTGATCAAAGGGTACAAAGTTTTAGTCCAGAGGAGTAAGTTCTGGTTGTCTACTGCACAGTTAGTAATGATGTACTGAATAGCTCCCAATTGTTCAGTGGATTTTATTTATTTTTTGTTTTTGTTTTGAGTCAGGTTCTTGCTATGCAATTCAGGCTGGTCCCTATGTACCCCAGGGTGACCTTAAACTCAGAGATCCTCCTGCCCCAGTCTCTGAGCACTGGAATTCCAAATTGAGCCACTAGTCTTGGCTGCTTGGTGGATTTTAAATGCTTCCACTATAAATAAGATGATGGATATGTTAATTAGCCTGATTTGCTCATTCCACATGTAATGAAATGTCACATTGTATCCCACAAATATATACACTTATCAATTGAAAATAAAAATTTTCCAGATGCCCTGGTAAATCCTAGAACCCCAGCTCCTGGGGAGACTAAGGCAGCAGAATTGCAAACTGCAGGCCAGCCTGGGCAATTTAGTGAGGCAGTTTCAAATGTTATTTTTTAATGAGGCTTTATTGGTACATTTTAGAGCTACATAATGATTCCATTCGATATAGAGAATTTGTACTTGTCCATGCTGTAACTTTTTGCCCCCATTCCTCTATCCTCCCTTCACCCCCCTCATTTGCAAAAGCTTTGTTTCCATGCTTTCCTCCCCCCCCCCACTTTTCCTTTCCCCCGTTCAAAATGTGAAAGGGATCTCTCTGCTGAGCCTGCTTTAAGGCCCTAGCGGTCTTTATCTCCTATCGCCAAAATTTTGTTCTCTGAGGCAACCTGCATAGGGGTAAAGGCAAGTCTCTGTCTTCCAGCAACTGTACCTGCAGGCTATGCAGTATAAACAGCCTTAAAGCATCTCGATAAGGATCTGGGGAATATTACCTGTGAATTTGCTTTAGGCTCAAGAAGATGGGAAGATCTGATTACATCCCAGAAGTCACACCTTTAGAAGACTAGAAAGATTTTCAGGAATGACTAAAAAAATAGCTGGGGGCAGTGGCAGCCAGCCGGTAACCTGAGCTACTCCAGAGGCTGGACGATCTGCTGAGCCTAGCAATTGGACGCCAGTTTGGACAACACGGCTAGACCCCAGACTCCACCTTATTAAAAACAAAACAAAACAAGAAAACAAAGAGAAGAGCCGGGCCTGTTAGTTTACTTTTGTAATCCCAGCACTCTGGGAAGCTGAGACAAGAGGATCGAAAGTTTGCGCCCAGCATAGGCAATTTAGGGATTTTGCAAGATCCTGTCTCATAAAAGGGCTGTGGCTGGGGATTTTAACTCAGTGCGAAAACCCTACTTAACCGCGGGGTGGGGGGTAAAGGGGAGGCTAAAGAATTATCATTCCAATCAAGTGAACAATGAGAAGATCCTAACGTTAGGCAACAGAGTGACCAACTCTTACACCTAAGAGACTTGAAGCTTAAGGTTTTAAAAGGGGTCGCAGTAAATCACATTTAAAACCAAGTATTTCTCCATGAACCACACATTAGGATCACCGAGGCAAATAAAAAAATCCCGATGCCCAGGCCTCACGCCAGACGGATGACGCTGAACTCTACAGCGGTGGAACCCACGAGTCTAAGTGTTTTTTTTTTTTTTTTTTGTCTTTTTCGTTTTAAAGTCCCCAGGCGACAGTGAAGTGCAGTCAAGGTTAAGAAGCACCGTTTTAAAGCAGGTGCAAAATATTTCAAGCATAGCTCTTTGGGGGGGAAAAGGTGGCGGTAGGCACACAGGAACTGAAAGCCCTTTTGGGTGGGGCAGGGTGGCCTCTACAAGAACAGATATAAAAACCTAGAGCCTGCAGCCGCGGGGTTCAGGGCTTTCTGCGTCAGACTGAAAGCGTTTGGGTAGCAGTAACAGGGTCATCATATACCCAGCTCTATCAAAATTAAGCTATCCCCAGTGACACTTTCTCGCACATTTTTCTACAATTTGAAAAAAAAAAAATTTCAACGTTTTCTCTCCCACGCAACACGTTTTGGACGTCCCTTGGGAGGAGCGAGGGTCTGGCAGCCAAAAGCGCGCGGCCACCGCTGCATTTTTCTTCGCGATTTCAGAACCACAATTCAGGGACTGCCAGAGGGGCCCTCTCGGCTCCGGCTCACGCCCAGCTCAGGGAGCGACGACCGAGTCGTCGGGACGAGCTGCGGCCCCCAGAGAAGGCGCGGGAGGGGGGGCGAGGGGGCGCGCCGGCTAAGCCCGGCGTGCGCCGTGACGCGGCCCGCTCCGCCTTCACTCTCGCTTCCGGCGGCGCGCGGGTCTCTTTTCCGCCCTCCCGCCCACGCGCCGGCCCCGCCCCACTCCCACGCGCCCCGAGATGTAGCGCGCAGGACCGCGCGGAGAACAGTCACAGGTTACTATCGGAAGGCCCCCTGCAGATTCCCCTTCCGCCCTGCCCAAGGACTTCCGCTTTGGGCCGTCAATATGGACGCTGCAGCGGCCGGGTGGAGCGCCCTCTGAGAGGCGGTGCCGCTCCTCTGCGGCTGCAGCCGCGCTCCCCGCCCCCCGCCCCCCGCCCC